CTGCAGGACCAGACTCTGGTGAAGTTTATCACTACAGGATTTTTTTTGTTAAAAACATCAAACCTCTAAGAAAATAATACATTCACACCCACGTACTTCTGTAATCCCACCCTCACTTTAGTGTAACCTAGATTCTGAAGTACTTATTTTCTGTAGAGTACTAGATTGCAAAATGTTATGCTCATACATAATATTTTCCTAGCTAGGGGATAAGAAAGAAATGTGCAGCCCTGCAAAGGCTGGATAAGTCTGTAGGAGCCCTGTGCTTTATATTTCTTGGAACTTACCCTGGTGGCACTAGTAGTAGGTATCTTCAACAGGCAAATCATTATTCTTAAACTGGAATCTAATGAACACTGTAAATACAACAGAAAGTAGAAGAGTGACTTTCTCTGTGCACATTGTGTATGTTTAGTGGTGGCAGAAAAATGATGAACTGTATTGTCTTTAATAGGATGCTATGCTACCAATTTAAGTGTCATCAACTACTTCAAGCGGTAAAACCCACCAGATGGACTTTGGGAGAAATTTCAGTATAGGATGGTGCCTGGTATTCACCTCAGATCACCTGTCAAAAGGGATGATTTTACTCTTGGTAGAACATAAAAGACAAGTCCTAACTAAGTAAATGGTTAGTATGGAAACTTTTCATGGGGGATTAGCAGGCGAACAATGCCACTTTTACCAAAGCTCTGTGCTTCTGTAGCTCCTCTGAACCTCAGAAGCTATTCTCAGAGGGTACCCTGGTCATAGCTGCTCCAAGGCCTCCAAGAAAATCCTTTAAAGGGTGTTCCCCACTGTGCAAGCAGCTCTTCAGAAAACATATTAAAGCTCCAAGCTCCACTTTGTGTTTTTTGTGAATGCTAGTGCGTACAGTGAGAGAAGAACAAGCATTTTCTCCAGATTTATCTTGCACTTTAAACACCTGGAGCAGCAAAGAGTCGTCCAGAATACCAGGGAAAGGAATAGGAGTGGGGAAACCCCCTGTGCATGGACTTGAGAGCAATAAAGTATAATGAGACCTTACTTTAATGACACTAGAAATGGTGCTTTAGGTTAATATAAGGAAAATAATTATAAACACCCCAAATTAATGTTCTGCATATGCTACCTGCTAGAGAGGACAGCTGGGAGCTATTTCATTGATTCATGGAAATTCTTCAAGAAAGTGTCAGTTTAGACTAGTTAAGCCAAGCACGACCAGGATCTTGCTGCCATTTGTCAAGTAAGCAATGAATGTGAGGCCCAAATTTCAAACTGCAAGGTGTAGATTCCATGCCCACAAATTTAAAACAGTTTGCGTGATTTGGGGATGGAACCAAATTTAAATAGCAGAACACATTGTGAATGACACAGGACAGAGATTTTAATGCCCTTAGTCATAATGAGCTGAATATGACTGCATGCACAGTGTTCCCAGTGGAACCACTCATGGAGCAGCACAGTAATGAGGAAGGAATCAGTCTGGCCTTTAGGCTCTGGTCCGAAACCGATGAAAGTTCATGTATGGACTCGCAGTGACTTTGAGCACTATTCGCTGGGAAATGGTGCTTCTCCACAAGCTTGTTGACCATTCAAAGCCCAAAACTCAGATTCACTGAACACTCCAACTCTATCATAATTAAGTTCTACTATACTCTATTATCATAGAGTCTCTACAACTCTATATAAGTAAGGTCCTCTCATGAAATTATAACTAGGTCAGTTGAGCAGGCTATCCTTAGCCCTCCCTGTATACCTATTATCTATTTAATACTTTTAATAAATGATTTAGATGTTGCTTTTCTTTTGGTGGATTTGTTTTTGATTTAGAAGCTAAAATAGAACAGATTCTTATTGCCAAGAATGCTGCTTATTACATACTTAGCTTCCTAATCTGGCAAAAAAGCAAAAAAACCCAGCTACATGGTTGTTCCGCAACCATAGTTATGTTGGATGTTGTATGGAGGTTCTAGGCAGCGGGAGAGATCAGACACTCATTGCAACCTGAGCACCCGCCAATGCTAGAAAGCATATCACTTAATATTCATAGCAAATTAGGCTTTGTATCTCAACTTTCTATCCCGCCACTTTCAGTTTGCACACACCCTCACCAATTTGTTACAGTTTTGGTCTCAAGTGTTCTGATCAGTAGTTTACAAAGTACATTTATGAATTAAAAAACCTGAATTCCATACGTCATACCTTAAGTGGCAAAACACAAGGGAGTTTAGTAAAGAAAGTCTGGAATTGATTACTAATAGTGGTCCAGAGGTTACTAGGAGAATCCATCGGTAAAGCTTCCATAAAGGTAGCAATATTTTCCAAACAGCGTAGCATTGCTCCCCCTGCTGGTAAATTCTTTTTGTTGTTTAAGCCCTGGCAAACAAAATGAAGAATTTTACCAAAATTGAACACCAAAAAATGTCAATTTACACAACATTTTAAACATGTTTACACTAGCCAGACAAACAGTTTAATCTAGAGTTCATTGTTTTTCTTCAGTATTCACAATAAAGTACCACACGGGATAGCCACAGGATCAACGGGGGAAAGGAAAATTTAGTACTGTACTTGTGAAGGCTCCCTCTTGGCCAATACACCAGGGACTGAAAAAGGGATTTCGCCAGTTGAAAAGCATTGGATGCTACAGTTTGAGCTGATGCCCTGTAATTAACAGGATACAATACCTTTATAATCTCTATACTGGCACAGGGATGAGAGAAAGGCATATAACATATACTTCCTAGAACCCGCGGTAGGCCAGTGAAAGACATGTGACCATAATAGCCGGTCTTAAGTGCTTTTTCTGGCCAATCAGAATATTTGTGTCCTACTACCTTGTTCATAAACATATCCCTACATACTGGAATGAATGCCAAAGTGATGATCAGACTATAGCTGTCTTAGTGTTTAGTGACAAGCCTGAAAAGATGCAAGCAGTACTAAAGTGCTGTCAAAATCTTTGCTTGTATGGCAACTCTGGAAAGGAAGCAATCCCCATGTTTTAGAAATGATATGTCCAGCAGATTAGCATCAAAGTAAGAGTAGGAATCAAACTAAGTGAGGACAAGGCAGACAGGAAACAGCAGAGAGACAAGATTTGAATTCTGTGGTTCTCCACTGAGACATTGCCATTTGATACAAGGGGAAAAGTGGCCTGAAAGGCAAGAAAGAGCTATGAGATGCCCCATGCACAAAAATGATAATAAGGCAGAAAAAGTGATTGGTCCCCAGTATCAAAAAGAAGGAAGGCAGAGGGATGGGAGGCAGTTAACTGGGCAATGATTGTATGATACAGTGAGAGCAAAGCCTAGAGAGAAGTAGTTGGAGGGGGTTATGGTTTGAACCTGCATCCATATAAATTGCTGCACAAAATCTCATTGCCAATAGTTCAAGATTAACATCTGTGTATGAGAGGAGGAGGAAGGGAAACAGATCTCTGCCAGTACCTAATACAGTCTGCAATGTTTAATGTTCTGATGCTGAACAAACCTCGAGTAGCTGGCTCAGTGCAGCTATGGAGCTCAGTTCACTGAAGTCCATAAGAGATGTAGCCAGGGTCCGTAAAAAACTTCCATCTGGAAACGAGAATGACATTTTTTTTTATGGGCTTTGGTATGGAGATGATTGATGGAAGTAGAAATGCACTCAGGCATAGCCCATTACCTTTGATATTGCTTTGGAACAGCTGTGGAAGTATGCCATTGGGAGCCAGCTGATGGAAAACACAGCGGAGGAACTGTTTCGCCACACCAGCAGCATTACCAGGGATCATCATACTGAAGCAGAGGAAGAAAAAAATAGGAGAGAAAAATACCTCACCAAGTGAAAAATCTGTCCCAAAGCTGAGTATGTTGAGACGGTAAAGATCTTATTCTTTCTTTTAACAGTTAAACGGCAAATTTAGTCAGGAATACATAATGGTAATAAGAACTGTTCCTGATCCAGCAAAGCACTTCAGCAGATATTTGGCTTTCAGAACTTCATCTGGATTATTCACATGCTTAAAACTAAGTGCATAGCACTTGGCTGGATTGGAAGCTAAAAAGTTTGTTTAGTTTTTCCTGGTTCTTCACATTCATTCAGTTGTCAGGCTTTGAAACCCAATCCTGCTGTCATAGAATTGGATGGCAAAACTCTCATTAATTTCAGTGAGACAGAATCAGGTCTTTGGAGAACCTCCCATAATTATGCACCATAAAGGAATAGTTAACACATTAATTTCCCCTTTTCTAGCACTGTCCATCTAAAGGATACATCCACCCCTCTCTCTAAGCATTTATGAATCAAGAATCACAACATTTTTACCACTTCCAAAATGAATATACCACATATGACACCCTGGTGGAAGGCGAAGAATCTATTTCAGGGACAAACCGCCTTTTCCCATCACTTTAGGCTGGAAGTCTCCACCCCTCCCCACCCTCTGAGCACCTGGCTGCCAGATTCCCAGCCCTTCTGCAGAAAGGGTAAGCACAAATTTCGAAAAGCAGCAGGCTTAGCAAGAGAGGGAAGTGCTGCAGACCAGAGGGGTGATATGGCACAGCTCCATCAGACTGACCCCCTGTGCAAAGTGGAGCTTCCACGGGCCACACTGGACCTCTTTATGGGCCACAGGTTGTGGTCCCTTGGTCTATTTGCATTATGGGACATCATCAGTAGCTGTCATTGCTTACTTGTTTAAAAGCATGAAGACATGGAATCTGTGCACATAATGCACCTTGGGGATGAGCTCTAAGCACCTACAATGAAATCTTGGCACCACTGAGGACCTTAGGAGTTTTTCCATTGACTTCAATGGGACCTGGATTTTCTCCCTGATCTAGGTATGGACCTGAATTTACATAGGTGCATTGAGATTTGGAGCTTGACTTTCTGGTTCAGGATCATTGGTATGAAAAAAGGCATATTTGTGCCCAGGACAGAATTTTGCCTTGGTTTGTAAGTCTAGAAGATGGTTTCGTTTTACACTGTACTGTACCTTTCTGCTTGATTAGAAAAACTGGTGCTTGATGCCAACCTAAAGTAAAGAAACAAACAAGTAACAGCAAGTCAAGCAAAAATATTTATCATTTTCACTCTTAAAATGAAGCTAATGAAATTAATTAACAGTTCAATTGTTAGCAGAAGTATTGAAAGTAGAACTGGCAAGCCAGTCAATTAACAGGTCAAATATTGTCCAATCAATTGACTGCATATTTTTTGGCTCATCAAAGATTAAAGCAATTTTACAAAAAAACCCTATGATACACAGAAATATGATTTTTATTGTTTTTTGACATATTTCTTAATGGAAAAATTGTGCTTTTTCTGTGTATTATTTAGAACTATTGGCAATTTTTTACAATTTTTGACTGATATTTTACCAGTCAATTTACCAAACTTTATTTGACTGGTCAAACACACAACCCAAGTTGAAAGTAACCACCGAGAGCACAGAAGACCCTTCAAATGTGCTGTACAAGTTTAGTCACAGCACTTCCATAAAGAGTAGAGAAGTCAAAGTCAGACTTGCAGTATGGTCATGAATATTTAACAGCTCATACAAATTCTCTCCACGATCATTGTGATGATAATGAAACAAAACTGTGATCTTATTCACACAACAAAAATGGTTACTCTTCCTGCCTTATTTGGAGAATAGGAACATGTGATACTGGTGTAGGAACTGCAGGCTGACTGTATGGTCTTTGATGAATACAGGCAGTCCTCAACTTACAACGTTTCGAGTTACGTTTCACACTTACAACGTTTATAAATTGACACTCTGTTTCAACTTTATGTCAGTTTCAACTTTACAACGCTTGATCTTATGCGATGCCACGTCTGCGAACAAGTTCACTGTGTCGCTCATCTCCCTGGAGAACATCTGTCCAAACTTTCTTGGACACTTGCTTTAAGAAAGCAGACAAAACTCCAGAAAAACATGCAGCCAAGACTCCTGAGAAGACTCCAGCCAAGAACCCTTCAGAGAGTTCAACCAAGAGCCTTTTTAAAAGTCCAGCAAAGTCACCTCAAAGAAGCCCTTCCAAATCAATATGATTGCTATTAACAATATAAATACATTAACATAGCTATATTGCTCATCTACACCTGATTGCATACACAATTCTGGGGTATTTTTGGTGAAAATAGGGTACTGGGCCTTGGTTCAGGAACCAATCCCCCATTTATAACATTGTTTCTTATGAGAAAATTGGTTCCAAGTTATAACGTTTCGACTTAAGATGCGGTTTTCAGGGACCAATTGTGTCGTAAGTCCAAAGATTGCCTGTATTGCAAAAGATTTGGGGCAAGATTTTCACTATTCAGTGTCTAACGCTAGCCTTCTAGAACCTTATTTTGCCATCTAAATAAGTGGCCTCATTCTCAAAAGGAACGAGCATCAAGGTGCTGAGCTCATACTGTGAAGTCAAATGAAAAACACTGAATGCTCAGCACCCTTCAAAAGTCAGGTCACTTATTTTAGTACCCTGTAAAATACTTAAGCACATAGAAATCAGGTGTTGCAATGCCTAAATTTTACACAGCTAGCCTTCAGAGTGCAATCTAAAACCCAGAGCTTGGTGTTTATATAGTGCCTGGAGACAGTTAGGCAGCTCAGAACTGCAATTCAAACAACTCATGTGTTCTGTTGAGGAGCTGCTTAAGGCTAACCAGTAAGAACCACTTAGATAAGGGATGTGTCTTCAACCCCCATCCTTCTCTGAAGATTCAGCCCTTGAGTCTTGGTTACAGGCAGGCTCCTCCATCCACTCTGGGGATCTAGAGCCTGACATCGTCTGCTGGGGGTAGGCACCTGTACGTATGAATTGAAAAACTCTTTTCCTTTTAAAATTTTACTGGAGAATTTGGCTTCAACCACCTTTATGCAGCCTAGTGGTTTCTTGCAAGAACTGATCTGATCATTATGTTATTATACCTAAAAGCTAAGCACATCCTCCAGCTGCATTTAATTAAAGTGACCATGAATGATGTGCGTTGTGGTGAACTCAGTATCATCGATGTATATACCAGATACATAAAATGTTCTGAGACCACCTACCAATCAAGTCCCTCAAGAGACTAAAACACAGGGCTACCTAGTCTGTGAATCCCAGATGGGTGTAGGCATGAGATAGGTGCCAAAGTGCTTGGCTCAGCTACGATGGTGCCTCTAGGCATGTGTAGTGGCAAAATTATATATACCTAAGTAACCATACTGACAAGCCTACAGGTTTTCAGGTGCCTAAGCAGTTAGATGAGAGGGATCACCCTCTTGGACTTAGGCCCTTCCTACTGAACCTATTAAGTTGTAAACGCATTTATGGAACTGGCCATCAGAAGCTTAAATCTCACTGAAAGTCAATGGGACTTAAGGTTTTAAATGCCAGATTTAGGCTCTTATGGTTGCAGAGAGGTACATACTGGAATTTTCAGAAGTAAGCCCCATGGAAATCACTAGAAACTAGAAACCTAGCTGCTTTTGAAAATCTTACTGGGTGTCCATCTGCATCATAAGCCACCTAAATACCACTGAAAATCTCAAACTAAACCATTTAGACAACTGGACAATTTTAACCTGGGTCCTGAGTCTCCTGCCTCCTAATTCTGTGTACTAAACATTAAATTACACTATCTTCTCAAAAAAATAAAAATGCAAAGAGCCCCATCCACTTATGATGCACAGGCAAAAATGCCATCTGTGATGGAATGGATGTAAGTATGCAGGATAGCCCAGTGTGTCTGGTCACATGTATACAATAGAAAAAGAGAAAAAGCTGGTTGGAATATAAGAGAAACTCCATACAAAGCCAACTGACGGCATCTCTTCCTACACTTGTTTACATAAGGTTTGCTTTGTTTTGCATTTCAAAGCAATTCTTTCAGGTGCTTATAACTGCACCTTGAGACGGTCAAATATAATGGTGGCTGGGACTATGCACTAGCAAATGACAATGCACATTCACTGTGCTAGAATACCCTATATTGTGTACCATCTGCTTCACCAAAATAATCTAGTATCTCACAATGAAGATACAGTGTTTCTTCTTTAAAGCACTGGAAAAAAGGTAGCATATTTGCCTTCCTACCCACTTTGATAACTAATCTTCAAAAGCTTAATTGACTATAGCTTCTCACTGGCCCTATTAGTGCTGTATTTATGAGTATCAAGTAGGACGGACAGCTTCAACCTAGATTAGAAACTCTACCTCCTCCAGAATTCATTAACATTGACAGCAGGGAGCTGCAGTCTTGGAATTAATGAAAATGGAAAGCTTGATTCTCTACTTTGTTGAAGTGGAGTTCAGACATAATGGAGAGGAAGGGCCTGCAGAGAAGCAGTTGAAGTTCCCTCATCCTCTGTTACCAAGACCCTGCATAAATTAGAGCTAACTACTCAACAGCTGTAAGTTAGTAAAGAATCAGGTGTAGGTGAGCTGTTTCATCACTTCCACCACCCTCTGTCACGTCCATGCCTTGCTCCCCCCATGTACACCTTCCTTCCTTTTGTGCTAGGTATTGGTAACATAGGAGGTAGCAGAAGAACCATCTCCACCAGCTCTCTGCTGACAAAAAATTCAGATACTCCACTGTCCATCTCTGGTCATTTTTCATTTCTACAACAGAACAAAGTGACTCTTAGTGAATCAGAAACTCTGATTCACAGTACTCCAGAGCACCAAGACTGGTCCTATCCCACTGTTTGGATGATGTGTCAGAGTAAGTATTATATGAATATTATATTATATGAATATTATAAACCTGACAGCATAATCCCTTGCAGTGGGAAACTTCGACTGGGTGCATGATACCTCTAAACATCTTTAGATCAAGTCTCTGTGTCTTGCAGCACCATTTATTCTCCTTATGATAGCTCTACAGGGTCCTGCTGCTGTTTGTCATTTTATGGTTTTGGAGCAGAAGTTTTCTTCTACCTACCAGCAATATCCAGACAAAGAGCATAAGCCATGGGGGCCCTCATCTCTCTAATCTGGATGGTGCAGAACAGAGTCCAGGCTCAACTGCTCCCTCATTTTGAGCTCTGTAACAGGGAATCCCTGTTATTGGAGAGCAGTGCAGCCCCTTTAAGGACAGAGTTTGTAGAGCCTGGCCAGCTGACAGAGCAGGAGTTAAAGGACAGCCCTGTAGTCAGGCCAGCTGACTAGGGCCTCACATGACCAGGAGAGGGCTCAGGTCACAGCTATATAAGCCCCGGGGTTGAACCAGCCCTGAGAATTGTAGAGTTCCTGAATCTCTGAGGAGGCTAGAAAACAACATCTCTACAGGCCGGGGAACGAGAAGGAGTGATCCAGAGAGAGAGACTTGGTAAGCAGGCAAGTAGCCTTCATTTTTTTATGTTATGACCAGTAGCTTGGCTTTGGGACTAGAGGGGTGGTCTGGAGGTCCCATTAGTGTCCTAAGGGCATGTGCTTGTCTTGGGCTCCACTAGGGGCAGGTTTAAGGCAGGGCGAGGGCTGGGGCCCAGAAGCCAGGCCTAGATCAGTAGGTCTGGTCTATAGGACCAGCCAGAGTAGAGGGGCAGATGCTTTAAAATCACAACATAAAGGAAAGGCCTGGAGTGGCCTGGAGATGAAGGGACAAGCATCCCACCTGACTGGTAACTCAAATCTGCAAGGCACAGGGCATGGTGTAGTGAAGGTATGGAGCTATGCAATTAGTCCCTAAGGCAAGGAACCACCACCTCCAGGTGTTCCTTAGAACAAGACCAGGTCTAGGAAGCCCTGGGGCAGCCTCCATTTTCTAACCATAAGGGACATCAAGATGTGGCAGGTGAGTGAAGGGAGAGACTGTTCCCAGAGTATGCAGGGTAAAAAGAGGAATTTTGTGGGCCTCCAGGGGCTTGCAGCCACCCTTGGAGATAAAGCACCTTGTTACAAGTTGTCTTTTAGCTATACAACAGCAACCATAAAGTGGTACAACTTCAGAACCATACTACCACCCCATACTGCATAGTGCTACATGGCACACTACTTTCCCTTCTCCCCAAGAAATGAGGTCCAGCTCCCTCAAACATGGACTACCTTGAGAGTCAACTCATAAGCCATCAGGACATTTCATATATGTCTACACAGCAATCAGAGGTGTGATAACAGTACCTATATATATAACTAAGCTAGCTTGCTCTGCTACCAATAGCAGTGTAGCCATATAGATGGGGCCTCAGCATGGACCCTGGCTACCTGCTTGAGTAGCTAGCCACATTGAAATCTCCACTGCCAAAGCTTTATTGTTGATAGTACTTGAGCTAGGTAAATTTAAAGTTAAGTCAGTTATACCTGCCCATGCTGCAATCTACCACTGCTTGCATGTAGACATAGCATCAGTTGTCCTTGTTGCAATTCCAATGCATAAAAATCTTCCTTTCATCATAAAAGAGGAGTCTGAAGTTACCTTCCTACAGACTGCATGATATCCAGAAGCAAAGGAGCAGCTAAGTCTGGGCTCAGGTGAATGAAGGTTGAGAGTACAACTATGGCCAGACCTAGTGTCTCTTCATCATACTCTTCAAGAATAGCCCCACAATCATGGCATCTGCAAGGAAAGTTATTAAAAACAAATATTATTAGTTCAACAGTTAACTAGGGCAATTCATGCAACATGATGTTATTTATGGCAATGAAAATGGATGACTACTTTGAATCCTGAATACAAACAACTTCACTAGCCACACAGACTGGCAATGTTAAGCTGTGGGCAGTTATTCTACTTTGCCCTTTGGGTTCATCAGTAATCTTCCCCCCACCCCGAGGTTATAAGTACATGAGTTAAAATAAAAGGGTTTGAGGGGAGCAGGGGAAGCAAGTCAAGAAAGATTCTCTTTGTTTCCAGAGAAGTCTCTTTCTGCTCCAAACCAATCTTGCAGCTGGATTGCAGCTCTCTCCTCCAAAGCTAAGAAATTACTTTGAAAGCTCTGTGATGTCAAATCATAAGGGAGATGTCAGATGCAAATGAGATGAGGCAGGAATTCACAGTCATATAAAAGAGAGAAACTAATCTAGGAAATGGTCTATTTTAGCCCAATAGGGAGGCTGAGTTAATTTGATCAATCAGTTGTTAATAACTCCAACAGATTTTAACTTAATGGTTAAAAGCAATTTGCCACCCTTTGCTATGCAACAGGCTGAGGAGATGACAGCAAAGCCATGAAAATTGAGCTCCTGGTCTGAGGGTTAATACCTGATGCCAAAGTTGTTGGAATAAGACCAAAGAGAGGCTTATTTTAGGCAATCTCAAAGGACACTTAGGTTTTATACAAAATAACTGCTAGCTCTACCCAGGACTCACCCAACAGCCCTGCTTTTCCTGAGTAATGATCTTAGTTATTAGATTTTTATGCTGCACTTCCCAAGAAGGCTCAGTGCAGCTTACAATGAAAAGACAAAAACATTATAAAAACAGAACAAGATATTAAAATAAATAGATACAGCAAAACAAACTCTTTTAACCACCCCCAGCCTAAAATTCAAAAACAGTCCACTCCAAGCTACCCCACTCCCGTGCCTCTGACAAAACCCAACCCAACCTTGCTCTGCAACCCACATTTATTACCTCTGTTAAAAAACAACAACTTCATATTCCCTCCCATTCCTATTCCCTCACATCACACAAAGAGGAGTCCTCCCACCCCCTTACTGTCCCTCCCAAGCCCTTTCCTCCCTCTCTCAAAAGAAGGCCATAGCTGTCCCCAAATCTACTTTTTATCCACTTCCCTCCAAAGAAACACGCTGTTCATTAAAAACAAAACAAGAGCAAACATGTTCCTTTCCCCTGCCTCTGTCTTTGGCAAAGGGTATCCTTGAGCATTACCCACCATGGGCACCTGCACCAATGCAGCTTGCAGTCCCTTTTAGGCTAGGGATAGAAGTTACACATAAGCTGGTTTAAGTGATCAGAAACTGATTTAAACCTGTAACAGAACAGAAGCTCAGTACACATAAACCAGTTTCAAAATGGGTGAAACTGGTTTAAGATAAACCAGTTGGTTTATGATAAACTTGGTTTATGAAACTTCTGTCACAGACCCCTTCCTGGTTCAAGTTAAATCGCAGGCCCCCAGCATGCTTTGCAGTCCTGTGCTGTGCTGTGCTGTCTGCTCCAGAAAGCAGGGTTGGCCCTACCCCTCTGCTCCCTAGCTGGAACAGTGAGAGCTGGCTGACAAGGGAGTGGTGGGGGGGAGGCATGCCTGGCTGTGGATGCTGCCCATTCTACAGGGGGGGGACTGCCCCTCCCCAGGCAAACCTGAGCTGGGGTCTGGGGCCATGGAGGGGCATTAAACACCCCTTCCTCTGCTCAAACTTACTACTGGCTGCAACTGTGAACTACAAATCTCAGAGGCACCGGGGAAACAGGAAAAGGAAGTGATAAGCAATTCTGCAGAATCCTGCTACTGTAATTCTGGACTGCAAATCCCAGAGGCCTCAGGAGCAGCAGGAAAAGGAAGTGATTACATAGCCAGAGAGCTGTGCTCTGATGCCCCCTCACTCCCGCCCCCAACTTCTGGCCTGAGCCACTGCAGGTATGTGGCTGCATTTTCTGAATAAAAGGTAAATGTCTGTTCTCTTCTGTTTCAATTTAATCGGTGCAGTTTAGACTAACCTGCAAAGACTGAATCAATTCACTCTCAGGCTTTTTGACTGTCTGTACCTAACCTTAAAGCCCACCAGTTGGATGGCGCCTTTCTTTCCAGCTGAGCTGACCATATGGATTGTCTATTCAGCCTCCCAGTCCCTCCCCCTGCTCCAGATTCAGCCCCAAATCGGGGAGTGGGAAGTATCCATGTTGTTAGGAGCCCCATCTTGTCTGTTCTAGCCATTGGTTAGAGCACAGCAGTGAAATCCAGAAATCCTGGGTCCTGTTCCCAGCTTGTGACAAAATCAGCATGTGGCTTTAAGGCAGCAACTTCATTTCTTCAGAAAATGAGCATAAAATATATTTAACTATAGTACTGCAATGGAATTTGGACCATTTTTTTTTTTTTAACTTTTGGGAATCCTCATGGAGGAAAACCACTATTTAATTACAAATGAGTAATGCTGCTGGTAATAGTATCTAAGCTGCTGATTTACAGTCATTGCCTTATATTGCACTAGGAAAGCTACAACCATTCAAAAAAGAGATAACTTTCTTTTTAGGAAGAAAAACTGAGTCGTTGTTGATTCACAGAAGCCATTAAGTCAAAACCAGGAAAAGCACAAATTCAAAATTAAAGTCTTTGTTTATTTAGTGTTCAGTATTATTTCATTTATTTACATAACCAAATTATCAAATCCACAGAACCGTAAGCCAAACTGGAAATATGCAGATTCACATCTAGATTATCATAAGACTAAAGATATGGAGTTTAAGACCAAACCAAAAATATATATTCACAATTACAAGGGAAGAAAAACAGCCACCAAGGCAAACCCTTGAAAACTTTCACCCAATGAAATTCCAAAACTTGGTACAGAAACCACTAACCAACCCAGGGACTAAAGAATATAAGAATTAATGAGTCATTGCAAGAACCCTCTGACTCACCCCATAGACACCACTGAGCACTGAGCACACACCTAACCTATCATGCACACAGCAGACAGCGATGTTCCAGAGCCTCATGGCATAAGATTTTCTTCCAGCTGGGATTTTTTCCAAATCAGATCTAGAAAGCTAAATCCTACATGTTTTGGATCTGACCCATATCCCAATTCATAGTTTCAAAGTAGTTAGGGTCAGGGAGGGACCTGAACAGATCATCTAGCCTGACCCCCTGCCACAGGCAGGAATGAATGCTGGGTTCACAAGACCCCAGACAGGTCCAACCTCATCTTGAATTTGCCCAAGGTTGGGGTGAGGACCACTTCCCTGGGAAGGTGGTTCCAGATTTTGGCCACCCTAACTGTAAAATATTGCCTTCTGATCTCTAACCTAAACCTATTCTCCATCAGCTTGTTACCATTGTTTCTCGTCACCCCAGGTGGTGCTGGGGAGAAAAGGGCTCTGCCTATTTGTTGTTGATCTCCCCTGATGAGTTTGTAGGCAGCCACCAGGTCCCCCCTCAGCCTCCTCTTGCTGAGGCTGAACGGGTTCAGGTCCTTCAGTCTCTCCTTGTAGGGCCTGCCCTTCTGCCCTCTCACCAAGCAGGTGGCCCTCCTCTGAACCCTCTCCAGGCTGGCCGCATCCCTTTTGAAGTGCGGCGCCCAGTACTGGACACAGTACTCCAACTGCGGCCTGACCAAAGTCGCATAGAGGAGGAGTATCATCTCTCTGGACCAGCTTGAGATGCACCTTTGGATGCATGACAAGGTATGGTTGGCATTGGCGGCTCATGTTCATCTTGGAGTTCATCTTGGCATCAATGCTACAGTTGCTTAATTTATTGATGAGGATGGGGTGAGAGACAGTGTCAAAGGCCTTCTTAAAGTCTAGAAAGACTACGTCCATGGTGATATCATCATCCAAGGATTTAGTTACTTGGTCATAAAAGGCAATCAGGTTGGTCTGGCAGGACCTGCCTTTGATGAACCCATGCTGATTGCCCCTGAGCATGATCTCCCCTGCAGGCCCCCCACAGATATGCTCCTTGATGATTCTCTCCACGATCTTCCCAAGCACCAAGGTGAGGCTTACAGGCCTATAGTTACTTGGGTCCTCCTTCCTTCCTTTCTTGAAAATTGGGACCACATTAGCCAGCTTCCAATCCCCCGGTACCTGGCCAGATGACCACAGATACTCATACAGCCGGGCCAAGGGCTCCACGATGACCCCTGCCAGCTCCCTCAACACCCTTGGGTGGAGGGCATCTGGACCTGCAGATTTAAAAATGTCTAGCCCTTCCAGAAGATCCCTAACTACATCTACGCTGACTGAAGGCTTGATAGAGCTCTCCCCAAGATTGTCCCTACCTCTGGTAGGTGGGATGTCCCAGTCCCTGTTCAAGAAAACAGAGGCAAAGAAACTGTTAAAAATATCAGCTTTCAATTGTTTGGGTGAATTCATATTCAGGGGTTTGGATATGATGAACTAGCACAAACAAATCTTCATAGCATAAACAGTCCTTTTAAGTAAGAACTTTTCCTATCTATTCACAATGTACTCTGTTTAAGCTACTTTAGGGCTAGAAAAGTTCCATGGAACCAGTACTGTCAACATGATCTCATTTATATCAGTTATTCACTAGCGTAGTAACTCAGCTAACATTGTGGTTGCTATAACACCAGGAGCTAAAAAAGAATTAGACAATACATCTTTCTCTAAGTGAAGTAAGGAGCAAACTGTGATCAAATGAGCAAACTGTCATAAAATACTTCTGCTATTAATACTCATAGCTACCATTTTGAACCCATACACTCATGTTCTGTTATATTCATAGCACAGATGATTAGCAACACTGAAATTTTTATCTTAACAAAAATTATGCAGCAAAAAAAGATCATTACAGAATGGCATTAGTTGAATTAAAGTGAATCAAAACATGCTCTAAAGTTCCTCATCTGTTTGAAAAAAATCAAAATGTGCTTACTTGTCAGTCATCATAGTGGGCTGGTCATCAGTAAATTCTTCTGGTGCTGGCACAAACATGCTGACTATACTAGGTGCTGACAGCAAGCTGGATTTGGTGGCACCTTGAAGCCATTAAAAAGAGAAGCAACATGTTAAATGGAAATCTGATATGAAGTGTAGAATAGACACCCAGGGTGCAGCCTCACATGCAGAGGCACAAGTCTGTTGTGCAGAGGCACAAGTCTGTGCCACTGCTTTTCACTCCTGCACATACCCCTGCATGTGGGGTTGGTGCAGGGCAAATTTCCCTGGGTGGGGTGAGGGAGGCTGGGGCCAGCACCTGTACTGGCTCCAGAAGCCTTACCTGGCATCCTGGGGGCCTCCCAGAGGCGACCCAGCCGCTCGGAGCCTGGCCAGCAGCCGGAGCATGGCTAGCCAGGCTCCCTTTCTGGTGGTGAACAATGCTCCTGCCACGCTGCAAATTTTAGCAGCAGTGGGGAGGTTTGACACCCAGATCTCCAGTGTCAAAAAAAACACCAGGCTGCAAATTAGCAGCATGTCAAATGGGTGCATGTGCACCATGTGCGGTTTGCAGTGCTGCAAGAAAAGCACATGATTACTGGCATTATTTTCTGTGTGAAAGCTTCTAAAAGCAAGCTGTTCTTCTGCAGCTGAAGTCATCACCAGCAGACATGACTACTATAGGGGTATGCAAACAGAACAATCACATATGGAGCTTCCTTGTCCACGACATTTCTCCTGTGCCCAAAGCCTGGAGGATGGGAACCAGGTCTTGGTTTAATAGGCAAGATCACAAATGGCAGAACCCTTGTTACTGAGAAAACAGAGTATCCCAGCTGGCATTCCTCAGACTGGGCCAATACATTGTGACATGGTATACCAGTACCTCCATGAAACTGTTAACTTTTCCTCCAGAATCTCAACTTCCAATTAAAAAAAAATTAGAACTCTAATTACAAAATTACAACTCCAGCTGTTATTGTTGTACAGAAGTCTCACAAATATGAACTTGATGTAACCAATGGAATTAAAATTCTCTATAAACTCAGAGCCAATAGCTCTGAGAGGTGTGAACTGTCCCATTAATCCAACTGCCACATCCACAAGGTACCTTTTGATGAGTATTTGAATCTCAGGACTTTGATCCTGAAAGCTTGCAGAAATGGTCAATTTTCTTGCGATTTCCCAGTTGGTCTAATAAAAGGTATCATTTTGGAACCAAGAGTTCTAGTTTTTTGTATGTTTTCTTGTCTCAGACCAACACGGCTACCAAGTACACCCCTAATATCATTGACTTGCATTTCTCAGGTAGAACAAAATGGTACAACTATATATTTTTCCAATCTGTACTATGAGCAAAGTCTTATTTAGGTGTCCAAGCAGGTGTCATTTACAAGTTGGCACCTCTTCTCCCCATCAAACAATTAACCCCAAGTAAGGGGAGCCAAGCTCAAGGAGCCCAGTGGAGCTTGGATGAGGGACACAATCATTTTTGTTTTGGAAAGGTGAGAAGAACTGCAGGAAACTAATGTTGCTACAAAAGTTGGTTTTTAGTTACCTCAAAATCAAAAGAAAAACATACAAGCCATGTAAGAAAGGACGTGTCAGTAAGAAAGTACACCAAGGAGTAGCAAGAACATGCAGAGACAAAATCAGGAACACAAAGGCAAAAAATAACAACTGGCAACTGTTGTTGCCAAGACAAAAAGAGAGAGTTCTACAAATGTATGACAGAAAAGAAAGACCAGGGAAACTATGGGTCTATTGCTCAGTGGGGATACAAATGGAAGACACAAGGCAGAGCTCCTTAACAATTACTTTGCCTCATTCTTCACAGAAAAATTAACTGTAACTAGACAGCTAACAAAAATTAATAGAAGCAAAGAAGGGGAAGAGCTTCAGTTTATCAGTGAGCTTTTGCAAAATATAAATGAATTTAAGGAAGTTAAATTCATTTATAATAAACAGGAAGATTTGGTACAGTCACATGTAATTGGGACTATGAAGACATGGTGGGATAGTTCACATGACTGGAGTAGTCACAGATGGATATAGCTTGTTCAGGAAAGATGGACAGATAAAAAAGGAGAAGGCATTGCCCTATATAAAAAGACAATGTACACATGTTCAGAAGTGCAGTATGAAATGGAAGATAGGCCTTTTGAAAGCTTTGGGGTAAAGGTCAAAGGGCAGAGCTGCAGTGTATATGTCAGGATAGGTTTCTGCTATAGACCTTCAACCCAAGAGGAGGAGGTGGATAAGGCCTTCTTTAAACAAGTAACAAAAGCTTTCAAATTGCAGGCCTTGATTCTCATGGGGCACTTTAATTATCAGGGCATCTGCTGGGACACTGGGACACAGCAGAGCCCAAGCAGTCCAGGAAGTTCCTGGAGTGTGTTGGGGATAACGCTGTGATTCAGGTGGCTAGAGAGGCCAATAAGAGGGGAAGCTCTTCTTTACTTACTGCTCACAAACAGGGAGGAATTGGTTGAGAATGTGAAGTTGAAAGGTCACTTGAGTGACAGTGGGCACATCTACACGTGTGCTTTGTTAACTAATTAGCTCTTCAGTAAAGTGTCACAGTCTATGTGTGCACCAGTATTAGGTCACAGTAAATTAATTAAACTCAGAAACAGTAGTGTCCTACAGTGGAGTAGTTTACTCCACCAAAATACACATGTAGATGGTGACAGGGGCTAGCTGGGGCATCTAGCCCCATACCTTAGCACCCTCATGCCCCAGCCAGTCCCTCTGCTGCCACCTGGAGCGAAGGGCTGACCCTCCAGGCCCCGTGCCAGCCCAGGGCTGCTCCACCCTGGCTCAAAGTGCTGTGGTCCCTGGCGCATGTGTACATGATGCACCTGGAAGCAGCTTTCTCTGGTGTAAACTATGCCAGAGTTTATCATGTTGCCTTAATGGCACATGTAGATGCACCCAGTGATCATGAAGTGATAAGAGTTCAAGATCCTAAGGGAAGGAAGAAAGGAGAGCACCAGAATAACTGGACTTCAGAAAAACACACTTTAACAAATTTATGGACCTGGTGGGCAAGATCCCTTAGAAGACAAGTCTGAGGGGGAAAGGAAGAGCTGGCTATATTTTAAAGAGGCCCTTCTAAGGGCACAGGAGCAAGCTATACCAATGAGGTGGAAGAACTGGAAGTGCAATAGGAGACCAGCCTGGCTAGACCACAATCTCTTCAATGAGTTGAAACTCAAGAAGGAATCCTATAAAAAGTGGAAATTTGGTCACAGTACTAGGGAATAGAATACAAGTATCACACGGGCATTCAGGAAGAAAATTAGGAAAACCAAGGTACAGTTTGAGATGTAGCTGGCAAGAGAAATAAAAGGCAATAAAAAGGGATTCTATAAGTATGTCAAAAGCAAGAGGAATACCAGAGTTTCCATACGTTCCTTTTGGAATGTGGAAAGCAATCTAGTCACAGACAATGCAGAGAAAGCTGAAGTATTTAATGATTTTTTTTTACTTCAGTGTTTACAAGTAGGGTCAGCAACCAGTTGACAAATGCAGTTGGCAGCAGAGATAGAGAAGAAGAGCAGGTTAGGGATTACTTAGAGAAACTAGGTGCTTTCAAGTTGACAGGGCCAGACAAGATGTACCTGAGGGTACTGGAGGAATTGGCTGAGGGAATTTCAGAACCATTGGCTATCCTCTCTGAGAACTCATGGAGGTTGGGTGAGGTCCCAAATGACTAGAAAAGGGCAAATATAGTGCTCATCTGTAGGAACAGGAAGAAGGAGGATCTGGGGAACTACAGACCAATCAGCCTGACCTCTACACCTGAAAAGATCATAGAGCAGGTTCTCAAGGTATCCACTGTGTAGCACTTAAAGGAGAACAAAATGATCAGGAACAGTCAGCATGGATTCACCAAGAGCAAGTCATGCCTAACCAGTCTGATTTCCTGCTATGATAAAGTGACAACCTCTGTGCATAAGAGAGCAGCAGGCATGGTATACAAGCTCTTAATGAGCAGTCCCCAGCTCCAGTAATTCAGATTCATGGTGAGACTCTGGAGAATGTTGAGTATTTCCTAGACCTTGGAAGCCATCTCTTGTAGAAGGTTGACATTGATGAAGAAATCCAACACTGCCTTAAAAGTACAAGTACAGCCTTCAGGCACCTGAGGAAACAGGTGTTTGAAGATTGTGACATCAAATCCAAAATCAAGCTCATGGTTTATCAAGCAGTCATGATCCCATCCACTGTATGGAGCTGAGATGTGTACAACATACAGGAGACAGATCCTTTGAATCCAGTGGGAAGGCAGATGCACCAACACTAGCGCCTTCTGCAAGCAAACACTACAAGCATTGAGACAATGATAATCTGACATCATGGGTCAGCCATGTCAGATGTCTGACTCGACTCCCAAAATAAGTTTTATTCTTCCAGTTCAGTCAAATCATACACTAAAGAGGGCAGGGAAAGTGCTTAAAGGACATCCACAAGGCAGCTTGAAAAAATATATCAACATCAATTCATAGACTATCACCCAGGACTGCCCCAAATGGAGTAAGATTCTGCTTCAAGAATCCCAGTAGTATGAAATCTTACAATGACAAGAGATGAAAAAGCAGGCATGGCAGAAACAGTGTCATGGACTGAATGAAGACTCTGGAGCCACCCATTCCTCATGGAAACATGTGCCTGAACTGCAGCAGAGTCTGTTGATCCCAGATTGGCCTTGTCAGCCATCCTCAGACCCACAGATAAAGCAATTGTGGAAGACAATCATCCTCAACTGTGAGGGATTGCTGATGACAGCTTGACTTTAGTAAGGCTTTTGAAACAGTATGCCACAACATTCTTATTAGTAAGCTAAGGAAATACAGATTAGATGAAACTACTGTAAGGTGGATACCTAGCAGGTTGGACCATCATACTCAGTGGAAGTGTCTATACATTCATTAATGTGTTGTAGTTACTGCACATTTAGTTTAGCCTTAATGAAGTACTAACTGAATGCGCAATAACTACATTTACTGCGCAGTAACACTGGCGCATGTTTTTTTTCCTGATGGTTACTGCACAGTAGCCTAAAACACAGCACAGTAGCTTATTAACATGGTTTTTGACTAGCATGCTACTGCACAGTGTTGTTAGGTTACCACACAGTAAGCATGTCATGTAGACATGCCCAGGGAGTGGTTTTCAATGTCTAGTTGAGAGGAAGTATCAACTTGGATTCACCAGAGGTTTGTCCTGGGTCTGATATTGTTCAACATCTTTGTTAATGAGTTGGATGATGGGATCGAGTGCAGACTTAGCAAATTTGTGGGTGGCACCAAATTGGGTGGAATTGTGGGCACTGTGGAGGGGAGGGCTAAGATCCAGAATGGATATACAGGAGAAATGGTTTGCAATCAGTGAGATGAGATCCAGCAAGAACAAGTACAAAGTCCTGCACTTGGAACAGAATAACTTCATGTACAAATACAGACTGGGGATTGACTGGCTAGGCTGCAGTATTGCAAAGAAGGGCCTGGGGGTTACAGTGGACCATAAGCTGAATATGAGCCAACAGTGTGCTCTTTTTACAGAAAAAGCCAACAGCATCCTGGGTGGTATTAACAGGAGTGTCACTTGCAAATCAAAGGAAAAGATTCTTCCACTCTGTTCAGCACTGGTGAGGCCTCACCTGGAGTGCCATGTCCATTTTGGGGTCCCACACTTCAAGAAGGATGTGGCCAGTTTGGAAAGAGTCCGGCACAAAGCAACAAAAATTATCAGGGCCCTAGGAGGCAAGACTTATGAGGAAAGCCTGAAAAAAACTAGGGTTATTTAGCCTAGAGAGCAGAAGACTGGGAGAGGATTTGATAATGGTATTCAAATACCTGAAGGGAGGTTATAGAGAAGTGGAGATAGGCTTTTCTCTATGAGTGTAAGGGACAGGACTAGAAGGAACAATCTCAAGCTGTAACAGAGGAAATTTAGGTGGAACTTTAGGAGATTAGGAGGAACTTTTTCTGACTGAGAATGGTCAGGCATTGGAACTGGATACCTAGAGAAGTTGTGGATTCTCTATGCTAGCAAACTTTTCAGAAGCAGGTTAGGCAGACACTTGGCTGAGATGGTTTAGTCAGGGATGATCCTGCATTGAGCAGGGGGCTGGATTAGATGGCCTTATGAAGTCCCTTCCAGTCCTACTTTCCTATGATCTTAAGTCAGCAAGGCCTGATGTTATTGATCTCAGGATCTGGAAAGAAGTAGCTGAAAAAAACAAAAAGCCATTGACAATAATATCTGGAAAGTTGGGAATAACAAGTTAGGTTCCTGAGGGCTGAGGAAAGGCTAACACGGTAGCCAGGGAATCACAGACCAGTGTGCCTGGTTTAATTACCTGGGAAATTACTAAAGCAAATAATTTAAGAATCAATTTGTAAACACATGGAGATGCAAAGTGTGCAGCTCCAAAGCTGCTGTTGTGAAGGCAAGTTCAGTGTCTACTCTCAGACCAAATGATCTACATAAGATCCTACTGATATGTGGATTCACAACATGGGGAAGGTGCTGAGTGCTGCTGACATGAAAAAAAGAAAATTTACAAACAACTGTTTTGTTAAGTGTGACTGGAAACTTTATTTTCCACACATCAGATGTTTTAGGCAGTCCTTGCAACCCTTCAGTGGTATGGGAAACTTCAGAATGCAAGAAATATGAATTTGTTTGCATATGTCTAGCTAGTCTTTGCCTTCCTTTTTTTATTATCACTCTGGAAGTTATACTGATGCCATCTCTAGCTGCAGATTATACTTCAGTGTGACAATGTTGAAAGTAGACATAACCATGGCTACCTAAAAGGAGCATGGTTAAGCTGCTAATAAATAATACTTCTCAGTGATCTTGTGCTAAACAGCAAGAAAAGATGCAATTCAGTCTAAAGAGTTAATTCACTACTCTTTGCAGAACTGTAAAGAAGGCCGAACAGTTTTGCATGTCAGAATAGAGAATTCCAAAAGTTGGGAATAAAGACTCAGTGACTTAGGTAATGGGAACCTTTCATTTCCAAGTCATCAGTTCAAGTTTAGCCAAGGTAGATATCCATAACAAGCTATTACCACACTGAACTAACCTCTTATTCTTAGTGGTGGTCCCTCCAGGTCAGGGTTTAGGCAAACAGGGACATTGCAAAGCCGCTTCCCATGCTGTATCTGTTCTGTGGATAAATACATGACTTCAGTCTCTGGTACTATTAAACTGGCACCTGTTACCAACACCACAAATTCACTCAAACTCATAAAACAACTTTAAAACACAAGTGCACAACAGCTAGAAAAAAGAGGGTTAACTTTCTGAGTATGACAAGAGAAAGAAAAGAAAAGAAGAAGAAAAAAAGAAGTCCGTAGAGGAAGCAGGGCACAGATTCAGCAGTATCAAAAGAAGCCTTTTAGGATAGCTCAGAGTCAAGATCATTTGATAAGGAAAGAATGGCTAATTGCAAGGATACAGAAAGAAATGAAAGATGTTAAGAATCACAGAGAATGGAAGATAATGTCTAAGGATGCTGAGGGATTGGTAGTTCAAGAAAAGATTGTGCTGGTATAAGAAAGACACACAATGAGATTATTTTGTAGAGAAACAGTTTGGAAAAGAGCAGTTTGAAATGAGAGATGAATAAAGATAGGTACAGTATAGCACTCAGTTTATCAGGATCAATGCAGACAACATAAAGCATCCATAAAGTGACCTACTGTCATCTGCTTGCAATATCATGATTCTGTTTCCTCATATCTGTGCCTGAGAACCCTCTAATGAAGACTAGTTATATCAAATTTGTGGTCTGTGAGACGCAAAGATGACATTCAACCACCCCTAGCATTTACACTAAAACATGTGTTAAACCTTAAACAATGATTTGATTTTGAAGTCAACAACTGAAATATGCTGGACAGTGCAAAAGTACCCTTGAAAATAAATGTTCAGTTAGCACCTTCACCCAATGGAGGAACTAACTCGAAGTGAGGTATGTTGGAGAAAAGCAATAAATATTGAAAAGAAGCCTTGTGGTCACAACTAAGAATAGTAAGGCAGAGCTCCACAAAAATATAGTGATTAGAATACTGACTTGGAAGATAGGCTACATAGCTCATATGAGATGAAAATTGTATCATTCCAAAATACTAGTTTAGAAACTAAGGTTTTTGTACCAGTGATGACATCAGAAAGGTCTACAGGAGAAAACTTACTTGATATGTTCATGGACATTTTTCACTGACAAATTCTGTGCTTCATGAATCAAGACCACAGTAATGAGCAATACCCAGAGGAGGAATGCAGAAAGAGCAACTCTGAGAACAGATGTTGTGCCTCAGAAACAAGGTTGGGACTGATGGGATTAAAGGTGAATATTGAATTAAGACCAATTTCTGAACTCAATGTTTCCACTAACCTAGCAGTGGGGACACTGGACAAAGTGCTATGTTGCATGTAAATGTTTTAAATCCTGCACCCTTTCCTTGGCACCCACCTAATTCAGTTTTCATTGTCTGCTTTACTTTTCACTAGAAGTGGGAGGAAAAATGGAAACCCTAGGGCTGGATAGATACATTCGAAAAGCCCAAGTCGGAATCTAAGCTATACAATTTTCTGTAAGCAGTGTAGTTTAGATGGGTAGCGAACAGAACACACATTCGCCCTTTGGTGGGGGGGACAAATCTTAGGCAGGGTTCCACCATTTTTAAACCAGTCTATGTGTGCCAAACTTCTGTTCTGTTATGGGTATAGACCAGTTTGTGTGATGAATTTCTGTTCTGTTATGGAATATAAACCGGTTTCTAATCATTTGTCCTAAGCAAATGACAGAAGCAGAGCGAGGGTAAAAGCAGATAATGTATGTACCTGACCTAGGTGAATTACTGAATAGAAACCTCATGGGTACTTATGCACATGCTTGGGGGTGGGGGGGCAGGGAGGCATTTTAATTAGAGTGGCTCTTGGGAGGTGCTCTAAATAAAACACATGTATATTTGTGCACATTGTGTATTCAGCATCCCGTGTTTCAAAATGGAACTGCACGGGGCTTTAGTTAAAGCATCCTTACCACCATTTTGGAACTCAGGGACACTGAATACGTGAGACACTGCAGCACAGTAGTGTTCTCGATTCTGGAGCCTGCTCCAACACATTCTAATCAGAACGCATCAGAGTATGTGTAAAAGTGCCCCATGAGTCTGCACAGGTTTGCAATAGAATCTCAAAACCGTGCCCACGGAAAAATGAGGCTTCCTTTGGTATAAAGTGTTAATACCTAGGGGTGCCTATACACAAGCAGTGAGGCTGCTTCGATGCAGCGTAATTACCATGCTCCAGCAGATTCCAGCAACAAGCTTTAGTTTAAGCACCCCCACCACCATTTTTCAGCAGGGATGTTGATACACAAGACACTCTGAGCGCTTTGACTAGAGCAGCTCTCGAACCTGCTCCAATGAAAGTGCCCCCCCCCCCCCTCCCAGAGCCTGTGTATAAATCTAGTATTCCAGTATTATTGCAAAAATACCTTTAAGACTGATCCACTCATACTAGGGGGGAAATCCTAATCCTACTGACATCAATTATAATGCTTCATTGACTTCAGTCACATGAGGATTTCACCCTAGCCGCATATAAAACCATAGCACACATTGTACCACAGGTGTAACATCCCATTACAATGGAGCAATGTGGATTTACACTAGATGAAGATCTAACCCACTGTGTATAATTCCACTGTAGACCTGAGCTTTGTTGTTTTCTCAACTGGCAGAATGGAAATGTTCATTTACATTATTTTCAGTGAATCTATACAGGCATTAATTGGTTGAAGGGAATGGAAACAAAAATAATAGAGAAATATAACTCACCAGTATCCCACGTGCTGATGTTATGGGGTGCACTAGATTGGTGTTCCAGCTGCCTCTTCATTAGCTGGTTCATTGTCAGAGCTCCCAAGGAACCCCTTTTCATTTGCCTAAACTGAGCTGCAAATCAAAAATATACAAGAGAGTTAAGAGAAACACATGACATTCGAAGCGCTTTCCTTATTTCCTGATTTTACCCATCTGCATGAAATAGGAAAGGCCATCCTCTGTATAGAAAACTGACTGCTTGACTTCATGATCTTATTCAGGCAATCTAGTCTATTCTCATAAGTATGTAGGGTGAAATTCTGGGCCCATGAAAGCCAATGGCAAAGAACTTTAGTGGATCTAGGCTTTCACCTACACTATCTACCATGCATTCCTTGGCCTTCAATTTTTATAAAAACAAAGCAAAACAAAAAACCCTGAAATCCATTCAAGTGACCAACTTTATTAGACACTCCCCATAGCTTAAGAAACTACCACAAATATCCCTCAACATGCAACCAGACTGTGCCTGACCCAGACTTGTGTGCACATGGTACAGTTAGTTTCTTCCTCAGCAATGCCTCTCTCACACAACATATTACGGGGGGTAAAATCATGGTGTTTGTATTTGACAGAGCACAATGACTGCTCCTTCTACACACTTCTTAGGAAAGAAAGTGAGTAAGAAATATGGCTTTGTACCGCATCCTGTTCACCAGTCTGCAAAGTGGCAGGTGTGCCGTTTATGTGATATACCACCCTGGGCATTGTCATTCAAGGAGGGACTATATTTCCCCAATAGGGTAGTGTGGCTCAGTAACACCTTGTAAACAGGTCTGCATCTAAATAGTAAAAGATGCTTCCTGCCCCTCCAAACCAACCAACTTTTATACATCCCTGAGTCATTCATTATATTTTTGTAACTACATTACTGTTTGCTTTACTGAAAGTTACTTGTTGACAATATTCCCAGAATTAGCCATTATGTAATGAGTATGTAATGGCTATGTAATTAGTATTAACAGTTATCTAATAAGATCAGTGTTATAATCTGTTTCCCTGGCGCTCAAATGAAAAAGAGAAATAGTTGATAGGATACTTCCTACCTACCATTTTCCTCCTCCCTTCCACAGGAAGGATTGCATAAAATAAGCATGCTCCATCCACTTTATGCATTGTCTGAGCAATGTATCTCCATCAATTAAACCAATTTTATGGCTTATACTGAGAAAATGGTCTGGCCCTACACACTCTTAGTCCTGATTTGAGAAAGCACCTCAGCATGTGCTTAAATATTGAGTAAGAGTTTAAGCATATTTGTGGCAAAGCATCAGCAGGGTGTTCACCATTTAAGGGCTGTTACAGGCTCCATGTGAGCCTGCTTTGCAAGCAGCAGGGAAAAGCCTCCCCCCAGGAACCAATTTTAAGGGAGAAGGTGAGTGACAGAGCACCTTCAGTGTTTGCTGCTTTAAGGAGGAGATCAGGCAGCAGACAGGTGCAGGCCAGCTATATGAGGCAGCCATTTAAGATCCTGTCTCTCAGGACTGGGGCAGCAGTTTGCTGCCAGCAGCTGAGGGAGCAACACCACCTGGCTGCCCTGTTGGTCAAGGAACATCTTGGAGGTAAGGGAAGGAGCTATTGGGGATGGCAGGAGGCTCCTGGTCCTGGGCATGACCTGAAACTGCACCCTGCCAGGGAAGGGTGGCCTGGCAGGGCTGTTTGTGGTGGAACAGCCCCCAAGAAATGCCAGGCCAGTTGCCTCCCCAGTGAAAGGTGAGTAGGGGTGCCTTAAACCCAGCCCTCACCAACTGGTGGGTTTATAAAACCAGAGAGGAGTGGGGCCAGGCACACCCATGTGAGGCACCTGAGTCCATAGGAGTGCAAGACCCTGGAGAGGAGTAATGGAGCAAGACACACCCATGCAAGGGACACCTGAACCCATTGGGATATAAGACCTTGGAGCCCCAGGAAGGGGCGAGAGTTGAGTTGAGGCCCTGGCTGAGGGACAAGTGTCTTGAGGCCCTGGGAGAAAGGGGCAGAGAGGTCCAGGTAAGCCTTTGGATGCCTGAGGCCATAAGAGGCAACACAGAGATAGAATCACAAGTGAAAGGGGTGAGTCATCAGCCCTAAAATTGTGAACTAGTGGGCAGTGTTACTTAGTGAGGGGCCATGAGCAGAGTCAGCCCAGTGTTCTGCTAATTGCCCACCCACTGTTCAGATGAGGGTCATGGGAGAGGCCCAAAAGGCTGCATCAGGGCTGGCCAAGGAGTGCAGAGTCAAGCCTGATGGCCCTCTGGGGTTGCTCACGGGAGCAGGGTGGGGTGAATTTGGCCCAGTAAGGGGGAATGAGTGGAAAAGGCCTGGTGAAAGCAGTGTGAAAGCAGTGTGAAAGAGTGCTAGAGGCCCAGTGAGAAGGGGGGTGGTATGTGTGAGACCCTGCATAGGGCAGTATGAGAGAGGCCTAATGTTGAGCTGAGTTGGGCCTGGCCTCAAGCTAGAGCATAGCACAACTCACGGGAACATCTGCAAGGCACTGGACATGATGGGGGAAGGTAGGAGTCATGTGTTTACTGCCCTTGGACATCATGGCACTTAAAGGGCAGCCTCCCACCTAATTAATATCTTTAATTTATAACAAGGCATGGCAGACAAGTAAGGTGGGTGGTTTGCCCAAAGACAGGCGAGCGGGCCAGTACTGTGACTGAATCTGGGAGTTTGCCCCCTGTCACAATGTTAAATAAGCATATGCTAAAATATGTTCCAGAACTGGGAGCTTAAAGCAAAATACTTGGTGCATGTACACATGTAATTAACGTGACACAATAAATTCCACAGCTGTTTGAGCTGGAGTACACTGCTCCCAGGTACACTGTTTATACGTGTGCCTGGGACAGCAGTAGTTTGAGCTGGGGCGGTGCAAACCTGGGCTGGCAGGAGGAATAGGGGATCATCCCCAGGCTCCAAGTGGCAGCATCAGGCAGCAGAAGGGCTGGCAGGAGCCCAGCAGCCACCATCTACATGCACATTTGATCACACTTAATGACTCTGCCATAAGATAGTACTGTCAGGAATAGTGCTATCTTACAGCGGAGTTAATTAGTTTACTGAGCCCTAATACTGGCACATGTGTAGACTGTGACACTTTACTGCTACTTAGTCTACTCCTCAGTAAAGTACATGTGTAGATGCACCCACTGAAGCAAAAAGGTTTTATTATGACAATCTTCATTTGTAGCTACATCTAATTCAGTTTAAAAACAGCAGTAATATAATGTATGGCCATACAGTTGTAAACTCCCCAAAAATAAACAGCTATGCTTTCAGAAACGTTCTAACTGTCCTTCACATTGACAGAGAAGGCAAAGAGGAGAAAAAAAGTGAGATCTAAACTTTCCCAAAGTTTTCATGTGCTAAGATCTCAAGTCCTGATTCAGTCTCTAACTCAACAAGGATTCAACCTCAGAGAACTCTTTAACAAAATGAAAACTAGCACTTGGCTTTTAATAAGCAGAATGTTAACATTCACTGGGAATCTGCAAGATGAAACAATTTCAAACATTTCAGTCTGTGAAGTATGGTAGTTTTTTTCCCCTTATTTATATGCTTTTAATATACCAAAGCTTGTTTAAACTCTGGTCTGATCCAATTACAACAAAATTATCCAACCCTGCAGTAAACCAAATCTTGCATAACTGAACTTGTAAAATGGAACCAAATTGGGAATCCATTCAATATTTGACTTATTTTCCTTTTGTGCTGCCATTCACATCAAATTAGGAGAATGCAATGATAAAATCCAGTGCAAGGATTATATATAGATGCCTTATCAGTTTATCAAATACATAATTTCATGATGAAAGAACAGCAATTAACTCCAGAATCAAGAACATTGTTTGGAGTGTAGATGACGGTCAACACTGAGAAAATTCTCTCTTTGAACTTTCTCACCAGATTTTATGATTGTAATTAAAGTTTTTTTTCATGCATTTTGTATATAATCAGAATGGTATGGAGCAGGTTTGGGTTTCCAGAGCTATTTACCTGCTTTCTTAAGGACAGCTGTAATTTAAAATGGCAATACAATGAAAAAAGCTGCTCAGGCCTTTAAGCTGTATTGGAGCCAGATTGATTGTTGCAGAAAAGCATGTAACAGTCTGTGTATAGGATTCTAATAATGGAATAAATATTTCCACGATCTCCTTATTTATAGATAACTTTAAAACCTCCGAACTGTAAGGGAACTGGTATGTGTTATCCTCTGCCAGCTGACAATCTAGTCTTAGTTTCTCCATTTCTACAGCCATCTCTATTAGAGAAGACAGATTCTTTAAGAACTTTTTCTAATCAGAATTTTTGATAATGTGTAGTCTTTATGTCCATAAATAAGCTGCCTAAGTAACACTAAGTATTACAGAAATGCCTGATGCTGTCAAGCAAGATCAGGGCCCCATTGTATTAACAATATAAAAACACACAGTAAAAGAGAGTCCCTGCTCCAAAGAGCTTGTAATCTAAATAGACAAGATAGACAAAGGAATACGTATTGTCCCCATTTAACAGATGGAAACCAAGGCATGTTAAAACCAAAGCCAGTTTCATAGAGGTATTTAAGATCCTGAAATACAGGTGCAGCATTGTAATTGGTTCTGTTTCAAAAGCCCCTCATTCCCAGGGAAGTCAGTGGGAGTTAGGATCTAATTGCATCTGTTTAGATGCTTTTGTAAATCCTATCGCCATTGTTAGGTGCTTCAACATGTTTTGTAAATTTGCCCTAAGTACCTTGCCAAAGCTCACATGAGAAGCTTGTGGCAGAGGTAAAGAACTCCCCCAACTCTCCTGAGTTTTGGATTGGACATCCTTTATTTTACAGCCCCAAACTTGCTTCCATTAAAGTCAGTGGCTGTAAAATGTCAGTAAGTACACTGAGCTTTCCCTAGCACCATATGGGCCTGATTCTCCTGTCATTTAAATATGTCTGCAGACCCTAGACAATGGTATTCCTCATTATACAATGCACACTCCACATGAGAGAAACATTACATTCAGGCACCACTTTTTCTTAGTCCCATCTTTGCTTAAGGATGTACAATGTATAGAATCATCAAAAATTAGGGTTGGAAGGGACCTCAGGAAATCATCTAGTCCAAACTCCTGCTCAAAGCAGGACCATCCCCAAGTAGATCATCCCAGCCAAAGGATTTGTTTAGCCAGGTCTTAAAAATTTCCAAGGATGGAGAGTCTACAACCTCTTTGGATAGCCTGTTCCAGTGCTATACTACCCTCCTAGTGAGAAAACTCATCCTAATAACCTAAACTTCCTTTGCTGCAACTTGAGACCATTGCTCCTTGTTCTGTTGTCTGTCATCACTGAGAACAGCCCAACTCCATCCTCTTTGGAACCCCCTTCAGGTAGTTGAAGGCTGCTGTTAAATCCCCTCTCAGTCTTCTCTTCTCTAGACTAAATAAGCCCTGTTCACTCAGCCTCTCCTCTTAAGTCATGTACCCTGACTGGTGCCACCTTTGTCAGGGGGGTCATGTGTTGTCCCCCCGCAGTGACCAGCCTGCAACCGGGGTAAGGGGGGTTTCCCCCATGGTCAATCTCACAGACCAGGGGAGAGGTCCTCCTGCAGCCAATCAGGCCGACTGGGAAGGGGCCACGGCACTTCCAGGAGCACCGCAGCTGCTTCATCCAGGCACTCCCACTCCCTGGCTGGCGCTTGCAGGGGGGACACTGGTGCCCCCGCCTGCCCCCCTGCCCATCGCCTAAGAGGAGAGCATGGCCTGTGAGGGGGTGCACCAGCACTCTCAGGTGGTGCATGTGCACCCCTGTGCACCCCCTATGTGTCACCAGTGCCCCAGCACCCTCACCATTTTCATTGCCCTCCGCTGGACTCTCTCTAATTTGTCCACGCCCTTTCTGTAGTGGGAGGCTCACTATATAGAGCAAGAAATCCAAATGCTATGAAGTCTATGTCACAATAAAACCTTGTAACTTCTAATTGTTAGCATCATGCTGCCACTCAGGAAACTAACAAATCTAACTATACACTGTACAAATATACTTCCAGGCATGTGCAAAATTTGGAGGAAGGTAATGTACCAGATGTTGACATATGCTAGGGGTGCAAATGCAATGACTAAGTTTCAGTTCTTGCATCCAGGAGAAAACTTACTCGATATGGAAGAGTGACTACTTGTCTCTGGCACACCTGCTTCAAGTGTTGGAGCAGAAGATGATTCTCTTGGCATTTCCAGAGTTGAAAGTCCTTTAGCAGCCGGATCTGCGCATGGAAATGATGCTTAAACTCTGAGTGTATTACTTAAAAATCAGTGTATATTTTTCACCAACTTTCTCTCCACTTGGTACTTGTACATCTTTTCAATGTTCCCTTTGCCATCTGGCACCTCAAATGGCTTGAAAGGAATGACATGTGTGGTGATATAAGAGCAGAGGAAGCTATTTCTAAATCACTTTTCAAGGGAGATTTGTGAGTAAATTCCTTGGAGAATATTCTGATATTATGCAGAATATAATCCACGTGTACAATATAATTTATACATTAATATTGTATAAAACCAGTATAAAGGATTGATTGCCATAACTCTTGAAATATCTGATATTCTTTGTAAGGCCATACCTCCTAAAGTCACATGATTTCAAGGAAAACTCATTTTTCATTTAAATAAAAAGTTTCTTGCTCTTAAGCCCCTGGCACATATTACACTTAAGACTTGATTAACCATCTTAAGTTGGCCACACATTAAAGCAATGAATGGCATGATAAAACAAGGAATAAGCCACAAAATTATTACACAAAAAACGTGTAGTAACTTCATGACTGATTCCTATCATGCCACTAATTGAACGTGTGGCCAGGCTGGGACTTCCAGTCATGGGGTATGTTCCCACAGCTGACAAGGCTCCCAGCTGTGGAAGCTTGCTACTTGTCGGTGCAGGGAGAACCCAGGATTGTGATCCCAGGCTCCCTCTGCACCAGCAAGAAGGTGTGATGAGATCTGATGCTGAATCCCATAATAACACCTCCTGCCATGCACATGTGGCATGGCAGGAAGGGCAATTGTGGCAGACCTGCAGCAGATCCTATCATGACTTCACTTGCGCAATCCTGCAGCAGATCCTATCATGACTTCACTTGCACATCTGCCAGGCGTCTACTAGCCACACAGAAAACTCCTAAAGGTTCAAAACCAAAACCCAAACTATTATTTTTAAAAACCATATGATTTTACAGTAACATCATGGGGCGCAGGTTGTGGTTTCCCTTTCTTGGCGGCTTGTTTTGTTTTTGAAACAGCTTGGGTTTTCACCATGAGAGGAACAGAATGAAACATTTTTCTAAGTGGTGTTGTTTGCCTTAGGCAAGAGTAAACTAACTAAGAAAACATGAATTTGTATTTGGGTTATAAAAAGCCTGAAGCAGGAAACTGTACCCAGTTCACTTGAAGGAACAGGGCATTTAGATAGTCCATTGGGAAACAAATTAAGTCTGAATCCTTTCCAAAAGGTATTATAGTATTTGAACTTTGGCATCCTGCAATAAGCATTTGGAAGAGCAACTATTAAATCATGATGGCAATATCAAGTATGCTTACCTGAACTATAATTATTATATTTACAGACTAATGAACTATTCAGGATGACAAAAGAAACAGAATGCTCAAGTAAAAAGATGCATTAAATAACCTTTATCACTAACAGCAAAGTATGATACTAGAAACTCAGGTCATTTAGACCCCTGCTATGTTACTTTTAAGGTATGATTAACCAGTTAATCAAGTCTTAAGTTGTAAGCCGACCACACATTAAAGCAATCAACAGCATTATAAAAGAAGGAATAAGCCACAAGGTTATTCCAGAGAAAATGTGTAGTAACCTTGTGGCTGGTTCCTATCATGCCATTAACTGACTGTGTGGCCAAGCATGGCCCCGCAGCTGGAAGCGTGGATCAGCTGTCAAGGCATCTAGCAATGGAAGCACATGGTATGCCCCTGCAACTGGGTGCCCCGTCAGTTGAGGCAGCTCCCATCCACAGAAGGTTGCTACTTGCTGGTACAGAGGGAGCCCAGGACCATGATCCTGGGCTCCCTCTGCACCAGCAATAAGGCATGATGGGATTTGAAGCACAATCCCACAAGCACACCTCATGCCATGCAAGTGTGGCATGACAGGAAACACAGTTGTGTGGATCATGCATCAGATCCCATTTCGCCTTTATCTGCACATCAGGAGGGGCCCTTAATAGCACACTGTGAATGCTTTATGCTTTCTGCCCTGAATAACAATGTATTCAGAAATGCATTATCATGCCAGATGTAAGTGCGTGACATAAGGTACGGGGCTAGCTAGTATCTCCGACGTGTCAGAGCTCTCACAACCATTCCAAGCTCAGTTCAAAAGGTGTTTGTGAATGTCCCAAAAGGAAAACAGGATGTCACTGATTTGCATGCCCAAAAAGGTAGAGCCCGAAAAGGTATGAGTGTAAGTGCCCCCATTTTCTTCTGTGCACCTGTGCTAAAGATTTCATTCCTATTTCCACACGGCAGCACTGCCTCCTTGGCTCTCTACAACCACAATTGGCCTAGGCCTCTAGCCTGACAGAACACCAACACTCTGATTCCAGTCAAACACCAACCCCCTTATAAAACTGAGATATAACTGTTACATGATGGAAATTAATGGAAATTAAGGGTAGGGTGGGACTGTGGAATACCCAAACATTGCACATCACCTCTTTAGTCTAAAGAATATTTTCTCTTTTAAACCTGGAATGTAAATACTTGCTGTATGTAACAGTAAGTTCCAAGTAATAGTGAAAAATACTGAGGGCACCAGTCCACTACCTGCCAAATGTAGAGAAAAACTGGAGTCAGGAAAAGTTAACATTTTTTTTCAGACAGTGTTGGATAAAATACAGTTTCTTCCTTGATGAGAAACCAAGCAGAAATATTTTGTGCTAAGGCTGGCTTAGTCAGGGGTACTGCAAAAATACCAGGTCTTCCCCCAGTAAAGCAGGCTTGAGCAAAAGGTATAACATATACTGCAGTTCACAGTTATCTAGATATAGGGGGTTATCCAGTAAGAGGGGTTTGCAAAGGTTTCTTGAGAAGCTTGTGAATGAGAATGAAATATGAGCAAATCTCAGAACCTAAATCCTGCTCTTACTGAAAAATAAGTCCAGCAGTCTGCATAGTCCTAAACCAATGATGCCCCACCTTTTTGCTCCATGGGCCAGATGATGCAGTGTGGGTCTCTGGACTGGGTCCATTCCACGGGCCCAATCCAACGCATATTGGATCAGGTTCCAGTCTCACATGCCATTTGGTGGCCACAGTCCCGTGTGGGATCAGGCCCACAGTCTCAGCCCAGCCCCAGCCCTAGCCCCCCCTGCACTGGATCAGGCCTCATCATCCCAGCCCCAGCATGGGCAGGATTGGGCCCCACCACCCACCCCCAGCTACATGCATGCAGGATCAGTCCCTACGATCCATCCCCATCCCTGTGCCCACCCCCATGTGCTCCAGATTGAGCCCTGCTGCCCATCTCCAGCCCCACAAGCACAGGATTGGGCCCTGCCCCCCCCCCACATGCATTTAAGCATGCCTAAATTTAATGCACATTCACTTAATGTGCATTAAGTGGGTTTAGGCAGGCGTCTACACATGCAGGCATTAAAGCACATTAATGCTGTGTGTGGACTGACTTGGAGCTAAATGTGCTTTAAAGCATCCATACGTGCATTGATGCGCTTTAAATATTCACACTTAAATTTGATACCTCCATTTTCCTAAATTCACCATTTTTAATGCGTATTAAGGGTGCATGTGTAGAGATGCACCCTTAATGAGCATTAACTTAGGCTAATGCTCATTAGTAAAGTATCATGTGGATACTTTACATTAGTAAAGTATCATGTGTAGATGCACCCCATGTGTCATTGATGGGGCCCCATCACCCATCTGTGTGCATGCAGGTGAAATCCTGGGTGCAGGGGCACATTATCTGGCCCACAGGGCTTGGAAATTTGGTGATGGAGGAGTAGTGGCAGCCACAGCCGACCCTAGGGGTG